TTCCAAGGAACAGCTGGTGGATTTGAACTGTCAACCTTTTGGTTAGCAGCCCAGCACTTAACCACTGCACCACCAGGGCTCCAAAGGGAAGTGACACCAGGTGGTAACTCAGATCCATAGGAAGGAGTAATAACCACTGGAAACGGTAAATATGAAAAACTATATTTTTTCCTTCTCATTTGAAACACAACTGGCTAATACAAAGATTCTAACATTGGGTTATAGAGTTTATAGGGTCACTCTGAGTCGGCATCAGCTCGACGGCCGTGGGTTTGGTTTGGGGTTTTGTATAGTGTATATAGGTTTAAAGTACATGACAACAGTAGTACAAAGGACAGAATTTGATTCTTGCAAAGTTCTTATATTTTACATCAAGTGGTTTAACATAAACTCAAAGGAGACTGATAAGAACGCATGTTGTAGATACAAAGGCCACCACTTGGGAAGTAATACTAGAACGATAGCTACAAAGCCCGTAGAGGACAGTGAACACTAAACAATATTCAATTAATTCAGGAGAGGAAAGGAAGAACAGAGCAATAAATTTAAAAAAAAAAGGAACAGTAGCCACATGGTAACCTAACCCATATATACCAGTAACTACGCTAAGTGTTAATGAAATGAACATCCCACTTAAAAGGCAGAGATGGTCAGATTGGATCAAAAAGCAAGACCCAACTATATGCTGGTTATAAAAGGATCATCTTAAATATAAAAACAGAGAAGTTGACAATAGGAAAATGGAAAAAGGTATTCTAGGCAAGTGGTAAGCAAAAGAAAGCTGTTGTGGTTATTAACTTAGACTTGAAGACAAGGACTGTTATCAAAGATAACGAGGTGCATAATGATACAGGCAGCGTGAGGATGGAAATGTCTTGTATATGAATATAAATTACTGTATTGATGTTGCATACCATGTGAGGGAAGTGTTTTACATCCTGGTGGGATGGCAATTACATGGATGTGTGTGTACATTTGTCACCTTATCAAGTTGTAGACTTAAAGACCTTTGCATTTCTCTCTGAATTTCACCTTACGAATCTGAATGTTTAAAGAAAAAAAAATCCAAGACCTTGTAAAGGGCATTGCCAGTGTAAGTTCATCAAAATGAAATCTAATACCATAACCTTTATTCTGTCTGTATACTCCTGTCTCATTTTCTCTTACCCTGTGGAAGCCTATAATCCAGCATTTTAAGTCTTTTTCTCTTGATGATGTAGCTCCTTTTCTGGAGTGCTCTGTCTTGCTTACAGTCTTTATTGTTTTCTTTTCTCTTAAACCTAACATCATGTTATTGGAAGTTGGCAGGCTTTCACCTCAGAAGTCGGGATTTTTCTCACAAAATCCAATCAGATGTGTGAATCTGGCATTTGGTTTGACATCACCCCATGCTTCCACAGTTCTTCTCCATTTATTCACCACATACAGAACGAATACCTCGGTGTGCCAGGTCCGGAGCTAGGCCCTGGGATACAGTGGCGGGCTAAACCATACGCTGTTTCCCCTCATGGCACTCGTGCTCATTTCCCTGTCTTTTGTGAAGCTCAGATGAACATGGATGTCTAAAAGCCAAAAGGTAAAGCTCTCTGGGTAAGAAGCACACTGGCTGTACCGTGGACCAAATGCTCACCCATGTGACAGTTCTGACCTGAGTTTAGGGGTAAGCCACAGGAGCTGACTGAGATCAGGATAGGAGTACAGCATGTCACGTATACATAGGAGTAGCTTTCAAAGTGGGTGTGTAAGACAAAGATCAAGGGTAGATAAAGTCCTCGCCTTTCAACGTTGGCTCCACATTTGGTGGGTAAGGGGCTCACACTGTGATAGGTACCCAGGAACTGAGGCTGACTAGGCAAAGAGCTTCCATTTTCCATCTCATACCATTGTCCAGAGCAATGGCCCACTAAATCACCCTCGCTACTAAAATTGTTTTGTTCTCTGCCTTTCTTTCTTGTCCCTCCCTTTTGTGTGTGTTGGGGCAGGGGTGAGGGGCATAGGTGATTGATTGGGAAGGAGCTGGGTAAACAGAGTTAAATTCACATAAATGGAATGAGCTGTGCACCCAGCATTTGGGAATTGCTGCACTCAAGGAGATATCAGAAAAGCAAGTTGCAAACCCATCCAAGTAGTGGATGTAAATGTGTGTTCATTTCTGTAGTACAATCAGCACTTAGATTACAAGGTTATCTTTACGACACCCAGATGCAGCCACTTCTCTGGAGAGCTATTTGCGGCATTATTTTTATCTCAGGGATAGTTGGGGAAGCCAAAGTTTAAAGTCCTATTGAACAAATGAATTCGGAAATTATAACATTGAGTTCAATTTAAAAGCCTTTTTAGCTGAAACAATTGTTAATAGCACCATATTTAATTCCTATAAAACTGTATTCTAAACTCCTTCTGAGAGACATTGCAGTGGTACATTCGAAGTTTGGCCTTTGGTAATGACTGCTTCATTTGCTTCCGACCATCGCGTCATCTTCTTCGGATTAAGAGAAACATTACCTTCTTGTTTGGAGATAATGGGCTTCAAAGTCGAGTGAAAAACATATTTAACCCGTTTTCCTAATCTCGTTGTTTATTTTCGCCCTTCTCTGCAGTTTCGTGCCTTAGCGCCGATGTATTACCGAGGGTCAGCGGCAGCTATAATCGTCTATGACATCACAAAAGAAGTAAGCTATCCAGAGTTTTCTTAGGCTGTTCTGAAAAGCCTCCCTTGGTTGCGTGTATCTGCAGCTCGTTTCCTCTGCTGTGTTACAGGAAACATTTTCCACCTTAAAGAACTGGGTAAAGGAGCTCCGGCAGCACGGCCCGCCTAATATTGTGGTCGCCATTGCCGGAAATAAGTGCGATCTGATCGACGTCAGGTGAGTTATTAGAGCGGGCGAGGACAGTGCCGATTAGGTGTTCCTTCTCTCCCTGGGAAAGACCCAATAGGAGCGTCTTGCTTTTATTTTATCTCCGACGTTGAAAAATTCCTTTTCGTTGGGCGATTCGAGTCCGGAAGTTTTCAAACTAAAATGAAGATTCCAGGAATTTGGGGCTGATGACACCGCGTCCTTGGAGAGGCGTGTGGTTTGTTCAAACCCTGGTCTCCAAATACTTGACGCTGTCAAGATAGTGTCACCCTAGCCTCTGGTGACAGGATGCTTCAATGGGGAAAGGAGATTTCTTGGCAGTTTCCCAGGATCACCTACATGGTTCTCAAAGCAAGAGCTTTACTTTTGGAGGAATCTCACAACACGGATGAACCTGGAGGACATTATGCTGAGTGAAATAAGTCCATCACGAAAGGACAAATATTGTATGAGACCTCTATTGAAAAAGTCAAGGAAAGGTTTGCACACAGACAGAAACCTTCTTTGATGGTTACCAGAGAGGGGGGTGGGTAAGGGAAAACCGCTAACTAGATAGTAGACACAGACTAAGTCGGGAGAGAGAATACATCTGGAGGGAAAGAAACCCCTTCCCTTTTCTATTCATTCGTTGACCACCTTGCTGGTCGGGCCACGTGTTCAGGTTAACGGTGGAAGTGGTGTGACTGGGAGGGCCTCCTTTGCCGTCCATCGTATATCTGGTTAATTACTAGGAAGGTGGGGATAATCTTAAGGTCTTGGCAGGTGGAGTTTCTGATTTGCAATTGTTGCATTCCAGAGAAGTCATGGAGAGAGACGCTAAGGACTACGCCGACTCCATCCACGCAGTGTTTGTAGAGACCAGCGCAAAAAACGCCATAAACATAAATGAACTCTTTATAGAAATTAGTGAGTATCTCTGTGCCTGGCGGGTGTCCTCTGTGCAGAGCCACTGTCTTGCTGGTTAGAATTCTCACCTTCCTCAGAGGAGGCTAGTCTGCTACTGTCCTCAGTGGAATGAGATGTGAGAACATAAGAGTGACAGCCGCTTGCCTGTCATGGTATCATTGCTGGCGAGCTGCTGGCTGGCAACGTAGCCCTTCCATGAAGACTGCTAGGTAAATAGTTCACAAGGCCTTGAGGTCACAGAAGCTGCCGTTTCTCCCTCTTTCTCCCTTTAAATGTGCTTCAGTTAGTTTTCCAGGGTCATTGACAATGAGCCAGATAAATAAAGAGAAATACGTGCACGTGTGATTCTGCTGGCAGGAAAGCCTCAGCTGTCAGCACGAGGCAAGTCGAAAGGTCAGCCCTCCTTTCTCTTCCCCTCCCCTTTCCAGCTGGCGTGTGAGTGTGATGAGACAGGTGGGAGGGGGCCACCGCGCACCTTTGGGATCCTCTGCGGAGTGTATTTGTGTTTATTCATTGCATGCAAATTCATCAGAATGTTTACTGAGATCGGTTCCAGGCTCAGGAGAGATGGTCATGAACCAGTTAGACGTGGCCCGGCGCTCGGAGCGCACACTCGACTGTGGAGACAGACAGGAAGCTCAGCGACAAAGGTCGTTTCAGATAGTACTGAGGACTGAAGGGAGGCATCGGGGTGGAGAGTGTCTGCAGGCTGGCGGGGGGTCCCTCTGCAGAGCTGAGACTCGGTAGAGCAGGACACGCAGGGACTCCGGGTTTAAGTTACCCAGAATTCAGGCTGCCCCTGTGGGAAGGGAGGTGCCGGCAGAGCGTGGTGCGCTTGCCCCTTGGGATGCACTGTTCGGCTGAGAGTGGAGATTATTGCAGCCGGAAGGGCCGTTGGCCACCACGTAGACAAGGGGGCACAAGCTTGATGCCCACCAGGGCCAGGCAGGGGACCATGAGTGGAGCTGGCCTGGGGGAGCACCGGAAATCGGGGTCGGCAGACCGCACTGGGGACCCTGACGCCTGCAGGTGCACGCCCAGCTCCAGCCATCGCGGCCCCAGTGGAACATGCACCCCTGGTGGTCCAATTGCTGGAGGGTGGTTGGTTTTGTTTTATTTGATGTTTTTAGTTCGTTTGTTCAGGGAAACCAGAAATCTGGATGTTTCTGTGCCATGTCCCCATTGTTTAGATGTAGCCGCTAATTTAGACATCCTCAGAGTCCTGTGCAGGCGTGACGAACCCATCTGCCGGCCAGGTGGGCGGCAGGTTTGCAAACTCTAGTCTGACCCCTTTGTTTCAATATTAAAAAGTCATGATAGTTACTGTCTTGCTAGATGGTAAATTGGAGTTACCCAGATGCATTCTTGAAAGGCCGCCTATGAAGGCCAGTTGGGAACTGATCCCAGGTCAAGTTACGGTACCAAAGTGTGCCATGTCGCGAGTGTGTTAGAGTCCTCACTGTTAACTAAAGACTGTGTTCTTCACAACAGCGGTGTGAAAAACAGGCGGGTAGTGAACACACCACCACCGAGACTCCTGATGTAAAAAAACCGGTATTAGCGAAGATGAGAACGGTTTAGAAATGCAGATAGCGTTTGCTCTTCACTGGGCGTTGTCAAGGTGCCGTCCGCACAGTGTCTGACTCACTCACTTTTTATTGAAGTGTAACTAATATACTTGCAGAAAAGTGCACATATCAAAAATACAAAGGTTGATGAACTTTCACAAACTGAGTACCCGCCTCTAACCACGCCTTCAGGAGCCTCCCTTGTGCCCCATTCCAGTTACCGCCCCCCAAGGGTCACTGCCGTCCTGACTGCTCACTCTGCAGATCGGTTCTGCCTGTTTTTGTACTTTATAGTTTTTAAAAACATAACTGTATTTAACCCTTTTGTGTCTGGCTGCTTTCGTACTACCTTACATTGTGAGTTTCATATCATTGCATATAGCTGTAAAGTGTGTGTGTGAGAGACAGACACACACCCACATACACACAACCCAAGGGACAGGGGGACTTTATCCACCATGTATTTATCCATATTCTGCTGGGGATAAGCCTTTGGGTGGTTGTTTCCAGTTTGGAGCTGTTAAAAATAGTACTGCCCTGAACATTCCGGTTCGTGTCCTTTGTGAACATACGAACACACTTTTGTTAGGTATAGTTATACCCAGGAGTATTACCACACAGTTTTCCAGGTGGTTATACCAGTTCCCACTCGCCCAGTGGTGTGGGAGAATGCCGGCCGCGCCCCATCTCTGGTGGGTAGGAAGTAGTGGATCCAGCGCCCAGCTCCTGAGGCTGAGTGCCTCTCCATGCATTCATTTACATGGATAGGTACCTGGATCTCCTCCTTTGTGAAGTGCCTATTCTGTCTTTTGCCTGTTTTCCTCTTGGGTTATATGCCTTTTTCTTAATGTTTTCTAGTTTTTTGCATAGTTTAGAAGTGAGTCCCTTGTGGATCGTGTGGATTACAAATATCTTCTACTCTGTGACTTGACTTTCAGTTTTTAAACAACTCCTATGATGAACTGAAGCTTTTCATCTTAAATAGTCCAGTTTATCCCTGTTCCCCCTTGGGGTTAGCATTCTTAATCCTGTTTAAGAAAGCAGGGCCTACGCCCAAGTTTTGAGGAAGTTCTTCTCATCTTTCTTCGGAAAGCTTCAGTAGTTGCCAGCTTTTTTAAGTCACATTCCAGCGGTGTCTCTGTGATACCAGCTATGTTTGCAATATCCATGTATTGAGAAATTTGTAATGACGAGAAAGCTTCAGTGTTCACAGCAGCATCTCCTGGCGTTGGAAAACTAGTTGTAGGACCTACTAGGGAGCATGTTTCTAGTCTCTCTAGAAACCAGGCTTTGCACGACCCACAAGGATTTGCAGACTGCTCAGATGGTGGGGGCAGAGGTCAGAGGTCAAGGGCCTGAGAGTCAGCAGAGATGCCATCCTAGCCTTGGTCATTTCAAAGATGTATGTGTCATGTCATTTAATGTTTATGAAATACCTCCGTGCCAGGTACTGTGCTCAGTGGGTACTGAAAACACAGGGATGGAGAGGCCGGATCTCCCCTCCAAGAGCGTGTGGTTGATGCAAGGGAGACAGTCTTATAAACAAGTGTGTAACCGCGGGCTATGGTGCCCTGGCTGGTTGCAGTGTCAGAGATGCTGGAGAGAGCCAGGAAGTAGAAGGGTCAGAGAGCCTTTCAGGAGAAGCAGTTCTTGAGTCATCAGCCTGGTAGGTGGATGGGTGATTTAAGGTTCCTCTCGAAATTGACATTATGCTTCTCAGAGCAGTAAAGTGAAACCTGTTCATTCTCGTGCATTGTTGGTTAGAGAATAAAGTGGCACAACTTCTTCAGAGTGCCATTTGGCAGCATCTTTCAAAGTTTAAATTGCCCGTCCTCCTTGCATTTGTGCTAGACAGACCCTGGGAGTACCGTGTGGGTCAGATAAACACCCAGGAGTAGCATAGTGTGACCAGCTACTCTACTCTGCTCGTTTATCCTGCACACACACACTTGCAGGGTCACAAAGACAGACGGCCAGGGCTGTTGTTTGCATCATTGTTCGTAACGTCAGAGTATCGAGACAGACTGAATACCCGTCAACAAGGGAAGTGTCGAGTAGATTATGGTGAGCTATACAGCCGTATTATAGAACTAGTAAAAAGAACATGGCGGCTCTCGATGTACTTACAGGGAACCAATCCCAAGATGTTACATGAAAACAACAAGGCAGAGAGCCGTACCTGGAGTTCGCTTCCATTTGGGTTTCAAAAAGCGGGGTGGGGATCTGTGTGCACGTGTGTGTGTCTGCATGCCTCCCTCTAGAAGGCTGCTCGAGAAGTGGGCCCCAGTGGTTGCCTGTGACAGAGACAGGCACATGCTGCTTGAATTTGGTTTTTTGTTTGTTTTTGTTGTTGTTGAGAACACACATAGCAGAACATACACCAGTTCAACAATTTCTGCATGTACAATTCAGTGATATTGATTACGTTCATCAAGTTGTGCGACCATTTCTCACCCTCCTTTTCCAAATTGTTCCTCCCTCATTAACATAAACTCACTGTCCCCTAAGTTTCCTATCTAGCCTTTCGAGTTGCTGTTGTCAATTTGATCCCATGTAGATAGATCTTAAAAGAGCACAATGCTGAAGGCAGACATTGTTTTACAATTAAGCTAAACTATTGTTTGGTTTAAAGAAGACTTCAGTGGCTATTTTTGGTTGAAGGTTTCAGATTTAAAGATAATCTCAGGGCAGTAGTTTTGAGGGTTCATCTAGCCTCCCTGGCTCCAGAAAGTCTGGATTCCATGAGAATTTGAAATTCTGTTCCACATTTTCTCCCTTTTGATCAAAAATTCTTCTATAGAGTCTTTGATTTTAACATTCAATAATGGTAGCTGGACACCATCCAGTTCTTCTGGTCTCATGGCAGAGAAGGCAGGTGAATTTGTTTTTAACATGTGTACGTGTTACCTATTCAAAACGAAATGTTTCTAACGTGTTTTTTTAATTAAAATGTTTTTATGAAATGCAATGTAATCCTGGGACAGAAACAAGACATTGATGGAAAAACTGGTGACATCGAATAAAGTCTGGAGCTCAGATGAGAGTAATGTGCCAGGGTTAAATTCTTCATTTCAACGGCTGTCCCATGGAAACAAGTTACTAACATGAGGGGGAGCTGGGTCAGGGGTACACAGGAGCTCTCTAAATTACCTTTGCAACTTCCCTGTGAATCTGAAAATTATTCCAAAATAAAAAGTTTATTTATTTTTATTTTAATGAAACGTGTTGAACTGTACATACAGAATTGTTGTGCCTGAGAGTGAACAGATTTGGAAAGTTAAAATTCACTGCCTTCCCCGTCTCATCTTGGTTTAGGTCGAAGAATTCCATCCACTGACGCCAGCCCACCGCCTGGCAGTAAGGGCTTCAAACTCCGAAGACAGGCTTCAGAGCCGAAGCGAAGCTGCTGTTGACCGAGCCTCAGCCACTCAGACTTGGTGATGAAGTAGGTGGTCCTTAGCAGGAGGGTTGGGGTCCCTGCCACAGGTTTTCACCTGGCCGGTCTTGGGTCTTCTTCGTGCAAAAAGGATTCACAGAAATGGACCAGTTGTGTTCTCTCGACAACTGCAGCAATGAAATTTCAGTCTCTGGACTCTGTTATGTGAAGAACCTCTGGTGTGCAAAGGACTACATCACTGGTTTTTGACTTTGCTGAAAAGGAACATATCATTGTATGGATGATAGGATTAAATTGTTGAGTAGTTTTGTAATCAAGATTTTATGTACCATTTGTAAAGGGAAAATTAGCACTTTCATGGTTCTTGAGGGGGAGAAAAAGACCTTGTGGAGATGGTGATTTCCTCGGTTTCCCATTGCCACTGTTTTAGGGAGCTGCACTATTTAAAATGTGGTCGGCTATCAAAAGTGGCGGGATGGCGATTACTATTTGAAGCTAAAACGAGTCATGTATAGGATTGATGGAAAAGATTTCACCCCCCTGCCATCTCTAACGCACTTTTCATTGAAAATACTGGCCAACAATGCAGACAGGCAGTGAACCACAGCTCCACCCTCGCAGCTCAGCCTAGGTTTGC